CCTGAAGGGGGCGCTCTCACTGGGGCCGCAGCCCGACCCTGCCCTGAAGGGGGCGCTCTCACTGGGGCCGCAGCCCTGTGCTACCCTGTCCTTAAGGGGGCGCTCTCACTGGGGCTGCAGCCCTGTGCTACCCTGTCCTTAAGGGGGCGCTCTCACTGGGGCTGCAGCCCTGTGCTACCCTGCCCTGAAGGGGGCGCTCTCAGTGCGCCGTGAGTGTGCCCGTTCCCCTGCGCGCTCCGCCGACGCCCGGCCTCTCACCAGTGCTGTACCCGTGGGAGCTGTACCCACTGGCCTGCTGGAAGGGCGTGGCCGAGGCGTTGACGCTGACATTCACACCGTGCTGCTTCGACGAGGTAGGAGCCACCTGCGGGGGAAGGGAGGGGCGAGGGGAAAGGCGTTACAGAGGCATCCCGAGGACACAGACCCCCCCCTCCTCCGCGAGCACGCGGCCGCCCCCGGTGCTCACCGGGAACATGGCGGGCCCGTACTGGAAGGTGTTGGGCAGCCCCGGCACGCCGGTGTAGTAGGGCAGGCTGGTGTAGCTGTAGCCGGGCGGCAGGGCCGGGTTCAGGAAGGTCTGCTGCGTGGTGTGGTGGCCCTGGGTCTGGCTCTGCTGCGGCTGCGCCAGCGTGGTGGCCGGCGCCGGGGACGAGGCGTCCCCCCGGCCGAACTTCGTCAGGTCGCCCGCTGCAGGGAGGTGGGCAGAGGTCAGAGGTCAGAGTTCAGAGGTCAGACACGCCGGCGGAGGAGGCGAGGGGAGATGGAAAGCAAGGAGAAGGGCAGGGGCAAAGGAGGGACAGCAAACCGGGAGAAAGAAGAGGACAAAGAGGGGGGGCAGGAGATCAAGAATTAGGGGGGTGAAACAATCTCCTCTAGTCCCGTCTGCCAGAAAATCCACAAAAAACCTCAATGAGAACCACGTGGCGCCGCGCTCTCACCCGAGTAGGGGTTGTTCGTCAGGCTGCCCTCTCTGCCGGTCAGCGCCGTGGTCGGTGTGGCGAAGGGGATGCTGTAATAATCCTGACGACGGACAAGAGGGAACACCAGTCAACCAGAGTTTAATTACCAGTTCATTCATCAATTACTAACCTCACTGCCACCCACCGGGCATGCAACCCCTGCCTGGGCGCTAGAGCCGGCCAGGAGCGCCAACAGACCCAGCCGGGTTTCCCACCTCCCACTCATGCCCTGCTCTTCCTAACAGCGTCTTCAAAAAAACAACAACTCTCCACGCAGGCCGGTTTCTTCCGGCAGACAGGCGGCACAGAGAGGGGAGAGCCACGCGCCGAGAGGGCAGGGAGAGGAACACCGAGGCCCTGCTACATCCGGGCTGCGGAACGTTTACCGCAGCCCCTACCGCGCCCCGAACCGGACGGCGCGCGCCCGCGCTGACAAGGCGCCGCTGTACAAGGCGATTGGGAGAGCGATGCAGTTCAGCCAGCCACAAGCAGGGGGCAGGCCGCATCTGATGATCAGCTCTGCAGTTTCTGTGGCACACGCTGTCCCCCCTTTGAGGCTACGGGCCAGCCGGAAAGGGTCTACTGGTGTGCGGGAGCTGAAGAGCCACCCGGAGCGCTCCTGGCCAGTGGGGAATTAAGAGCTCTGGGTTCTAGACGCCGAGGAGCTTCCTCCTCTTCCTGCTCATCAGTTCCGCTGGCGGACTGGAGCAAACTGAGCCACAACCCAGTCCGTTAGTGCCCTTCCCAGGAAAACAGCCCTGGAGCGGAGCTGGACTACAAGTTGGAGCACTTTAAAGAGGAACTGCAGTCCCAATTTGTCAGATCGGTTCTTAAATCTCAGGAATACATACATTGACGTTACAGAAATTTTTGTACAAATTTTGAATCAAGCACACAAACGTGAACTTTGCGGACAGTACTGCAAGTTGCCATGCTGTCACAAACTCTCGTCCGAGTTCCCACGAAAGGGGACGTGATGCGGCCCTTCCTGCTCACTAGTCCCTGTAATGACTAATGTGATGGACGAGGTTGTGCAGCAGACATTTCGCCTCAGAAATGTTCCTACGTGCAGAGTTAACAACCGGTATTCGTCGGCAAGTGGTCTGGAAGTCGAGAGCCCTATTTCTACTGGATCAAGAGAGATCTATTCACAAGCAGTGCAATAGGGCCGCTTCATCTCAGCAGAAGTTTTGTTGCCTCGTTATGAATCGCAGAGCATGGCGCTGCCCATACCTGGAAATTTCATCCCATTTTGTGATGTAAATTTGAAGTTATGCACACAGTAACTTGTAAATTACTTTCGCTGTGGCTTGAACTGCACGCATCGAGGCTGATTTTTTCCAAACCCTGAAATATAAAAATAGCGTTGCAGTTCCCCCGTTAACGAATCCTTCTCTTGATTATGCGGTAAGGAGCAGAGCCGACCGCTGGTCGCAGGACGGCCGGGCGGCCGGGCGGCGGACTGGGAACGCGCCGGCCGATCAGCGCGGTGAACCCCATGAGGTACAGGACTCACCAGGGGGATCCTGGTCTGTAGCATCTGCAAGTCGTCGTATCCGTACACCTGAGGCTGACAGAGAGAGAGAGTTACTGAGCTGCGTGCCCACTGGGGAAACTCCTAGGACATCAGCTCCCGGGAGGGCCGGGGACAGAGCAGCGGCCTGCCAGGCGGCCGACACTCACTGGGTAGGCGTGCAGGAGTCCGGGAGCCATGATGTAGGGGTTGGGCAGGAGAGGAGGAACCCCAGGCGGCAGGTTTGGGGGGGCCTTTCCTGGAAAAAAAAAAACGAACATCACAACGTAAAAAGCAGGATTAAAGAAGAAAAACGCGGGAATGCTCCGAGAGTGGCAGACCATTGACCGAGCACTGTCCGGGGGGGCTGGGCAAGACTGAGAGGCCAGCGCCAACCCTCCGGTCCACTCGAGCGGAGTCCTCGGACCCCAGGCAGGGCCTCGCTCGCAGCCCGTCCAGGACAGGCGCCGGCCCGAGCGCGGGCTGACCGCTGCGATTGCGGGTTCGAGCCCCGGGTCAGAGACCGGCAGCTGCCAAGCAACATCGCCCAGCTGGCTGAGCACCCATGGCAGGGCAGGATCAGGGGGGCAGGGGGCTTCCCCACAGCCTGCAGCAACCCAAAACCCTTGAGAAGGATTTGAAACTGCCTCCACTAGAATAAATAAGGACCCAGACTTTGGGGAATTTCCAAGGTTAAGATTACAGCACGAGATTTCCTCTAGGCTGTCGCCTGCGATGCCAGACAACAATCCCAAAATCCAGGTGAGCATGACAAAAAAAAAACTAAATTTAAAAAAAGATTCCAGGTGGGGCAGGTGCACATTAATAGTGATTCCAAATATAAAAAGCATCAATTAAAGACCAGTAGATGGAGATGCCCCAAAGAGCAGGAGGCCTGCGATCGTACCTGAGGCGGAGGCTGCAGAGCCACGTGACGACGATGAGTTGGAGGACGAGGAAGGCGCCGAGCTGGTGCTGTTCAGTCCGATGCCCAGGCTGCTGACCGGGCCCAGGCTGGCCGACGACACCGTGCTGACCGAGGGGGGCGCGGCGGCGGCCGCCGGCACCGCGCTGGACGCGGCCGCCGACGAGGAGGAGGGGAAGGAGCTGGAGGAGGAGTGCAGGGCGGCCTCGCTGTCCACGCTCGCGTGCTGAGAGGAAACAGGGGGGCGGGAGGGGGGAGTGAGAAAGGGTTCCAACGCCAAGGGGGGTGCTGGGAATCTCGGCTGCGAGACCAGCAAGCCGGACCCTTCACTGCGAGTTCCTACTGGATAGCATTCAGTATCAAGCAGAACCATGGGCTCTCCCTAGCAGCTCTGCCACAAAAAACGTGCACGAACGCCAGGCCGCCAGATTAAAATCACATTTAGGTTAACTGTAACCTGAGAGACCAACAGGGGGGGCTATCACCCCCTTTTGTCCTAGACACAGCCTGTGATCTCCACCTGTGTGTCGTGTCCTGGGCTGGTCCGAGGTGTGAACAGAAACGATGCATAGTGCTCCGTTTATTACACTCAGTTCATGACACACAGCGCCGTCAGCGTGCATGTGCGTGCAAGGGGGAGTCTGCAGAAACAGGCAGCTACCTGTGAAAGCACTCAATACTGCCCCCTGGCTCCGGCTCACACACCCTGGGACAAAACCCACCAGGACCGACTTCCCTCGACACTCTCCAGCGCCAAGAGAATCCGACCAACAAAAGCACGACTGCTCTCATCTGCTCTAGGAGTCACGACGAACCCCGGCTCCCGGACTCTCACCAGTAAAGAGTTTGAAGTGCGTACTGTGGAAGAGGAAGGTGCCAGGTTGTTCGACTGCGTTGACAAGGAGCTGGGGAGACAGAAGAGGGAGAGGAGGGGTTAGTGGAGTTAGACCACTGGGAGACCCGATACGCAAGCATTCAACACCCTCCAAGGCCTTGGCAAGGTCACCCTAGCAGGTTTCTTTAGAACGAACACAGAGCCAGAGAACAATCTAATTTAAATACCAAGAACAGCAGGCGCTTCTTTACACCAAGGGTAGCGGGAGCAGGGAACATATTTGCCCAGGCCACGATGAAGCTTCTTACTAGACGCCTAGGTGAGCTCCTCCTCAGGGTCACAATCAACTTATCTAGTTAGAAGCTTAACTGAATACAAACTTTTAGTAATGAAGCCACGTGGAGTGAGCAGTGTCTGACACCTGCAGAGGGAAGGGACTGGGAGAAGCTCCATACTGCGGAGATGTCGTTTCACTCACTTGCTGTGCTGCTGGGGCTGCGGGGCGGAGCTGGGGGGCAGGTCCTCGCTGTGCCCCAGCGAGCTCAGGGGCGTCTGGTTGGCCGTGGTGAGGAGGGAGGAGGAGCCCGAGACGCTGTCGGTCAGGGAGGACATGCTGGAGACCACCGGAGAGTCCGATACGGATTTCACTGCAGAGCCTGCTGCAGCTGCAGGGATGGGGTGGAAGGAGAGAGTTAAACCGGATTTTAACAATCCCAACTAAACCACCTATCCTACCAGCACGCAAGAGCAGAAGACACTACGCTGCTATAAAATAACCCATCAGGATAAACAAAAGCGGGAAAAAAACCTAGATCTTGGCAAAGGCCAGGCTGATAACACTCGTTACATCTGCTGTCTGCATAAACTAGAGACTTGGCTTAATCCGGCCCTGCTGTAAACCACAGCTCCACATCACTGTGGTCAGCCATGTTGCTCTGCTCCCTAGGTTTCAGGATTGTCACCCAAACTTCACTTCCTCGCCTGACTTCAAACAGCTCGTTCACAGAGACTCGCTGTAGGAAACGTTGTTCCCCCCCTCGAGCACAAAGACTTACCTTCTACAGATTGCGACGTCTGTATGGAACTGAACCCGTTCTGTCAAAATCGAGAGAGAAAGGAGTCTCAGTATTCAACTGTTCTTGTGCAAGGGGCATTGACGCATCGTGCGAAACACCAAACAAGGATTGGATCTAGGGCAAGCTACAGTTCAGAAGGCAAAGGTCAAACAGCAGCCCCTAGGAGGATCTGCACCATCTTGCTAGCTTCTATCCCACTGCATGAGCCCCACAATCATGAGACTGGACCAGTCACTTCACTGACCAGCTTCTGACCAAGAGCTGGCAGTAGGTTCACCAAGTCAGACCATTCACACAGCTGGCTGTGTTCGTCAAACTAAATCGGTTTGTGGGGTGATGGGGGTCCCCACCAGTTTGTAAGATGGCATTCACTGCTGCCCATCAGGGAGAGACTTGGTATTTAGTCCACTGCCAAAGACCCAGAGGCCAGAACTCATCAGCTAAGGGGGGGTCAAAGGTCGAGGAGCTTAACCTGCGAATAGTGAGATTGTCAAGTCTCGCCTCGATGAACGTGGTGGCTGCATGTGCGAACCCATATCCCTCACACTGCCAGGTGCTCCAAGCGAGTTACCCGGGAAGTGACAATGACAAACGCCGGGCTCTGCTGCAGCGAGGGGGGGGGCACCGATGGCCCACCCCCACGGGCAGCAATGAGCCGTTGCCATGTGGCGGGACATGGGGACATGTCCCGGCTTCGGCCTGCGCCCATCCCACTTGGCTTCTGTCCAGGCGGGAAAGGGGAATAATTCACAGCTGCTGCCAGATCGGTGGGAGGCAGGAACCCGGGAGGACCGTCTGCAGCAGAGAACCTCCACAGGCTTCAAATCGCGGCCAGAAGCCCAGATCGCAGGCCTCGGGCCCCAGGAGGCGAGCTCCGTTTCGCACCACAGCCTTACAAGCAGGCCCCAACTCCCTTTCCCCAGACTTTCACCTCCCTGGAGCAAATTAACCAAGCACAGGGCAGGCCGAGACTCTCAAGTGGCCGCCCGTAGGCCAGGTCACTCTGCACACTTCAGGGATCCCAGAAAAAGGAATGCGTGTTTGCTGCCATCTGGTGGAAAGGGAGGAGTAATCTGGCTGTTGATCAAATTGGGGGGGGTAAACAGCCCCCAGATGCTATTGCTGTTACTAGTCTAAAGGGGTCCGAAGAGTCTCACTGGAAACTAGAGGCGGCACAGCCCGCAACTGCTCGGGGCTCTACGGGCCCGGCGCTGGAGCGGGTCCACGCCTGTGTACTCACGCAATGAGCTCCCAGGGCACCTTCGCTCAGACTGCCACTGGTCCACTGACCGCCGAGACGATTTCGGGGGGAGGAAATGGATATTGCCATCACAACAGGAGCCGGCCAGATCACCAGCGACTCGACACAGCCCAGGACAGGCAGAGCCCGGCTGTAACACCCCCCGAGGGCGAAGACGCCAGCGAGGAGGGGTTCTGAAGAACAAGCGCCCCCCCGACTCCACCCCCGCCCCACCTGATTACCAGCCCCCCCAGTGTTTCAGTAACACGGCTGTGACTGAGCTTTACTGGCACTGCTGATGCCCCTGGGACAGTGACCATAAGAGAGAGAGTGTGAAAAGAAGATGTGCGAGAGGAGAGAAAATGGGGAGAGAAGGAGTAGCACCACCACTGCATGAAGCGGGGTGCAGTACAGGGCTGACCCACGTGCTGGGGCCACGGAGGGCAGCACCCCCGTCTTTCCTCCAAGAGAAAAGGAGCGCATGCCAGATGTGAGGATTGATCTCGGCCGTGACACCCCGCTACCGGCCTCACCTTGCTGGGCTGCAGGTCCTTCTGCGGGGACGAGGACACGGAGGAGGGGTACCGCCGGGTCTGCGTGGAGCGCTGCTCGTACAGGGTGGCCTGGCCTGCGCCCCCGCTGGCCGCCGCCGGCTGGGGAGGGTACGAGGGGCCCCCGCCGGGGAGGGCGCTGCTCTGGTACCCCGAGTCCTGGCTGGGGTTCGAGGAGATCGTGGGCGCTGACTCACTGAGGGAGGGAGAGGAGGGGAAAGGTTTAAGTTGCAGCTGGGGCCAGTAGGGGGCGCCCACCCAACTGTCCGAGTGGGTCCTAACGGCCCTGTATAGCGACGAGGACACTATACTGTAAAAAGGCGCCATCTTTTGGATGAGACATAAAAACAGAGGTCCTGACTCTCTATGGACATTAAAAACCCCAGGGCTTTTCTTGAAAACACTAGGGGTTTTACCCTGGTGCCCTGGCCAAATATCCCCCCTGACCTGGACTTCCTAGTAACCCCCCTCTCTGAACTGGCTTCATCACTCTGCTCTCCTCCCCACTGAGAGCTGGTGTGTGGGGAGAGGACTGGTGCATCATCCAGGTGGGGCCACACACTGGTGGTGGTGGTGGAGGGGATCCCTATTATCTGCAGAGCGCTGTGAGTGGAGTGTCCAAGAAAGCGCTGTGTAAATGTAAGGATAATAATTTCATAGTCGTACTCCAGAACTTTACAAAGCACAGCCACTGTCTGGAGCGAGCAAACGTGTAGAGACCAAATCTTGAAGCCTGAGGGCCGACAACTAGGAAGGGCCCTTCCTGGCTCCGTCACAGCGGCTGGGAGGACCTGTTCTGCTCCGATTCGGACCCGGCTGGCACTGCGGCGCACCTGGCAGAGCTGGTGTAGAGGCTGTTCTGGGGCTGGCTAGGGGGGGCGCTGGTGGCTGGCGTGGGCTCGTACTCCGGCAGCACCGGCTCGGACCCGAACTGCAGGGCCCCGAACTGTAGGTTCAGGCCCGCTATGTCCGCTGTTCCCGGCATCTCCACCGCCAGAGAAGGGATCTGCATTCAGAGAGGAGGGGGGAAATCAAAGCCCAAGTTTAGCTGAATCGATACCACTGCACAAACCCAGCTGAGCACCCCCCGCGTTCATGTGGTCCCACTGTCCGACCGCCCCCAACACTTCCCAGCAGCCATATCACCCTGCAACTCACAACCGCAGGCCACTGGAGCTCAGCAGCTGTGAGCCTGGTCAGTACCTGGAGGGGAGACCTCCTGGGAAAGACTAAGGCTGCTGCTGCTGGAAGAGGTGTTAGCGTGACCAGTAGGGGGCGCTCACCCTGCGGTCTGTGTGGGTCCTAATGCCCCAGTACAGCGACGGGGACACTACACTATAAAAAGGTGCCGTCCTTCAGATGAGATGTAAAATCGAGGTCCTGACTCTGTGGTCATTAAAAATACCAGGGTGTTTTCTTGAAAAGAGTAGGGGTGTTACCCCGGCATCCTGGACAAGTTTCCCTCCTGGCCTTCACCAGTCACGGCCTCCTAATAATCCCCATCTATGAACTGGCTTCATCACTCTGCTCTCCTCCCCACTGAGAGCTGGTGTGTGGGGAGAGGACTGGAGAATCATCCAGGTGGGGCTGCACACTGGTGGAGGTGGTGGAGGAGGGGATCCCCATTATCCATAAAGCGCTTTGAGTGGAGTGTCCAGAAAAGCTCTATATAAGTGTAAGCTATTATTACCTTTCTGTCCCCAGTACAAACAAACCCAGGAAAAAGGATCCAACTTACTATTGTTACACAGCCTACTACTGAATCCCTCTCTCACTCTGGACACACCATATCCATACCCACGCCCTCATCTCCTCCTCCTCTACCGGCGACTTTTTAACAGAAATGAGGGGGGGTGGGGGGCTGCAAACGTTTTCCCCCTGCCACCCCTTATCTCCCCCCCAGTGCGGGGTAGGGGGCATGCGGACAGGGGGCCGTACCTTCGTGGTGATGGAGGTCCTCTTCTTGTGCTGCTTGAGCTTGTGCTGCTGCAGGGGCTGCGGGCTGGACGACTGGTTGTCTGATGAGCCGGGGGACATCTGCGGCCCCGGGGGGCCGGCGCTGGGGGGTTTGGGCAGCGGCGAGGAGGAGGAGGAGGAGGAAGAGGGTGGCACCACGGCGGCCGGGGCAGCTGGAGGCGGGAGGGGCGCGGAGGAAGAGGAGGAGGAGACCCCTCCGGGGGCAGCGGGGCCCTTGTCCTGCTGCAGGAAGGCCTCCATCATGGAGGAGGAAGGCTGGTAGGACTGGCGCTTGCCGAAGGGACTGTGGATCGAGGGCTCGGACTGCGGCTTCATGTCTGGATCGGGGGAGGGCAGACGGAGAAGAAAGCACAGGTTAAAGAGGAAACAACCGAGCGCATCAGCAGCACAAGTAACGTGAACTGGTTGACAAACATCTTTGCCCTCCCCAGGTGCTCACCATACTGCGCCAGCGAGGAGGAGGGGGTGTCCCAGGTGGAGGAAGGGGGGTTTGAGGGGGTCGACTGGGAGTGCTGTGCGGCCAGCTGGGCCAGAGCCTGGGCCGTCTTGAACTGCTCCAGGAACTGAGAGCCGCTGGTCGTCCCTCCGCTGCCCCCCTTGGGCTCCCCCACGTCGCCAAAGCCCTTGCCCAGCATGCTGACCTGCAGGAGGGAGAAGAGGACACATGGAGGAACAGGAATGAAGTAAGGGAAAAGCCATCACGTTCCTAGCTGGTCCACCTGGATGCTTCACCTATGGCCTCATCCTGAACGCCAGCAGTGTGACGGCTCACCTGAAACCTCAGTACGCCCTGCACGTCTCACTGGTACAGCTGTAAGCTTCACTCGTGATGACAAGGCGGTTGGGAGAGCGATGCAGTTCAGCCAGCCACAGGCAGGGGGCAGGCTGCATCTGATGATCAGCTCTGCAGTTTCTGTGGCACACGCTGTCCCCCCTTTGAGGCTACGGGCCAGCCGGAAAGGGTCTACTGGTGTGCGGGAGCTGTACCCTGTATCCCCCTGCACCCCCCGGCTTCGCAAGAATCCCAGGTGAGCAATAAGTAAGACTGCCTTGAAAGGGGGTGCCCGCAACTGTAATGTTGCCTGCCAGGGTTAGATCACAGTCACCGCTGTCCTCTTAACTGAAGCAGTGCCCACTGACGCAAATGTATTTGGGTCTGGCAGCTGCGATCTCCGTTCTGGAAGAGCCAGAGGGGATTCTCCCTGTGTCAGTCATCTCGGGACATACAGGTGAAGGGCAGCTTGCGCCCGCTCTGTTGATCCATTCGACCCGACGGGTGAGCCCCGTCCCCCAACACCACGCCTGTCCCAGGCTGGAGCAGGATGAGGAACTGCAGCAGGCTCCTGCAGGACCCTTATCGTCATGCTGCTGCAGGGCCGAGGTCTTTGGATAGGGAGAGACGCCCTGCAGTCCCCGCCGGAGTTTTTCCAGCCTCCTCACCCCCCCCCATTCCAACATGCCACAGGGCGGAAGGGTCTGGCCACGATGCCAGTGTGATAGGGTTTGCCCACAACCAGAGCAGTGGGCCCCTAGACAGCCTCTCCCGACGAGGCTCGGCCACGACCTTCCCTACACAGACCCCGCCCCAGGAAGCGAGGTCAGTGGGCGATCTTCCTCTTTTGGGTCGTTCCCACCCACACCAGGGCCGAGCGCTCCAGCGGCGGCCTTACCATGCTGTGCTGGGCGAAGGCAGCGTTGGAGGGGGGCTGGGGCAGTGGGCCCTGCTTGGAGTTGCTGAAGACCAGCGACTGGGAGAGCGAGGGCGGCTGGGAGGCCTCCAGGGAGGTGGCCTCGCTCTCCGAGGAGGAGGGGGGTGTCTTCCCCAGCAGCACCGCCAGGTCGATCCTGAGGGGCACAGGAGGAGCAGAGGGTTAAGATTAAACCTGGACACGATTTAACATCGGGGTGGGGGGGGTGTGAGACTAGAGCCCGGGAGAGATTTACTGGTTCGTGCAGTAAAGACGGGGATGGACAGGGCGAGCGGAGAGGACTGCCCAGCTGGTAGCAGCCCACAGTTGACAGCTCTGCTGTGAAGGCCGACTGAGTCCCCCCCCCCCAGCGACTCGAGGATGATGAGTGGCCCTTTCCTCAAGGAAATCCGTTTTGGAAACACGGCCCTGAACTCCCCTTTTTCTCGTGCAGAAGTGGTGACAGTGGCTGACCGCCCTCACTCAACATTCAAACTCAATTAGCCTCCCCCCACCACGCACCATACTTTTCTTCCTGAGGGGCTCCTATCTGTAAACTGGT